TGTTGCAGGAGGGCTGAGCTTTATGGCAGGGGCGTAGTCATGGCATTTGGTACCCCTACTAGACTGAAACCATTACTGAAGTTTTCTATTTTAATGAAATTGTTGTTTTAATTCTTACTGTTATTTTAACTCTTTGCAAACAGAAGAGGACTCATAATTTCATATGGCGATTTTGCATAATTTTTTTTTTAATTAAATCTGTAATATTATACGTTTGATACAAGTGATGACATTCACTAGGTATGAACATAGTGTGATATATATGACTGTGTGTAAGCATAACTGTGACATATATGTATATAATTAATATACATAATTGATATACATGTGTCACTTATGTGTCATTCACTGTACATATTGGTTAGCCATTTTATGTTTGAGATTCTAATGAATCTTCTATACAGGTATTGTTTATAAATGTTTAAGTTCAAATTGATGTGTCATAAGCGCCATTTTGTGATACTTTTATGTCATCAAATGGAGTCGGTCTTTACATCTCATAAAATTGATCCTCATTTACTATAAATGACTGGCAGCCATTTTATACTTGCGATTTTAATAAAACGTTTACATGGTCATTTTCTGTGAACTTTCATCTTTAAATCCATATATTATAAGCGCCATTTTGTGATACTTTTATGTCATCAAATGGAGCCAGTCTTCATGTGTCTCACAATTGGTCCTCAATTATTATAAATGATGAGCAGCCATTTTATATTTGCGATTCTAATAAAACGTTTGCATAGTCATTTTCTGTGAACCTTCATCTTTAAATCTTTGTATCATAAGCGCCATTTTGTGATACTTTTATGTCATCAAATGGAGTCTTTAAACGTCTCAATTATTTTATGCTGTCATTGGATTTAAAACGATTAAATAGATGATGATACAGCATAAAGTGTTAAGAAACGAACAGGTTGTGATGAATAAGTTACGTATTTCGGGTGAAATCTGCGACAGAAAGAACGGAGGTGAAAGAACAGTATTTGAATGGCAAAGAGAATGCGTTCTTACGGAATATGAATATTTAGATGCTAGTTTTTCTTTTTATTATTCATTGGACGTCGGTGTTCTTTGTTCCGCAGCTAAATTCTGCATGAATTTGTTCGGGTTAATTGACGGTATGCATACCTTGCTAGGAATTTTATTATTTCTACTTTGTCCACTTGTATTTATTATATTGAAAGTTCTAATAGTTTAATTATTAGGTTAGATACAATACTCAGAATAAAATACACTGCGATTCTAGTTCTTAGTGTTGCAATATTCTTTTTGATATTTCATATCATCAAGGTTTTGATGTTTATACGTACTATTATAGTAACGTTTCAGGTACTTAAATTTATATTTCAATGACTATATAATTTGTTTATAATATAATCACACTAAGTAATTAACTACTCAAGTTTATTAAAAAAGATAATTTATTGTACAACCGCCTTAATAATTTAATTTATTAAATTTAATATCTACAAATCATTATTCAAATTTGTAATACAAATACCTTATTTATAACACAATTTTAACTACAATTTCTCAAACTTGGAATGTTAGAATCATTGCACTGATATTTTATGTCGCAACCACCGTTTAAACCGTGATTAAGACATCCACCATAAAACGTTTCACGCCTTCCACCATTAAACAACTAATTCGTTCTTACGAGTTTACCCCATCTCTCTTTACCCGTGGACGAGCAAAAGAGCCCTCTAAAAAAGTAAACAAAAATCGAGGGACATCTCGTGGAGTCGACGTTTCGATAGCAGACGGCCTTACAATATAGCCACTCGGCAAACAACCGAACCCCGTACACCCACCCCATAGCCAGGGACGGCTACGTATTTGATGCAAGGACTATCTTGTACGCGAAATATTTTATTTTAACAAGGAAAAATTACTTTCTACTATAAATTTATATATAATACTAAACTCAAGTTTACAACGATACAAAATTATGAGCAAGTTTTCTTTCCGAAGAGTAAGAACTTTCATTTTGAAGCATACAAAGTTTGAGCCAAAGTTCGAACTTACAAAAAATATCACAAACTTGTAAAAATATAAAATTGTTAAACAACACTTTCGATATCTCAATTTGTATCTTGTATCCCTAATAAAATTATCCGTCTAAAGTGACTCTAGCTTCTTTAGTCTAAACGTCTCATCAATGTTTCCCAAACAAAATGGCTTCCACTTGAACCTCAAAACTGATCAAGTTTACATTTAATTATTAACTACCCAATTTTCAAATATTCCCATCAGAAAATTATAATAATGTATCAGTACGATTGTCATTTAAAAGCGAGAAGTGTTCATTTCCGATCGAGTGATCCCGTTTTAAAGGCACGTGTCCTTGAAGCTTGTTTCACCCTTCCTAGATCTTAGCAGCATTCCTCGCGTTGGCCCCAGATAAAATGTAATAACGCGTCCTCTTCAGGCTGGCGCGCACGAATCCATCTTTCGTTAACGAGGGTGGAGGCTCACGATTGCGTCCCAGGAATGCGTGATGACTACTTTGTCAGGAATGCGCCGCGGCGCCCATACGCGAAACGGGAGCGCCGGGACGTCACGTTGTACCCTGGACGTCCTGGTGGGTGCAGCTGCCCTGCTACCCAACATCGCACAACCGTCGATCCTTTTCCAAATTTTTCTATGACGTCAATTATTTTCAACTTTTACTGGAACTTTTACTGGATGTGCGTGGGTGCCATTTTGAGATAGTTTTATGGCGTCGAATTGAGGTTGAACTTCATGTGGGACGAAATTGATAACTGTTTGGTAGAATCAGGGAGCAGTCACTTTTTGTTGGGAGTATTAGTGAAATTTTTGGTTTGCTACTTTTGTGAAGCTTCAAGCTTTGTATTGATGTATTACAAGCGCCATTTTGTTATACTTTTATGTCATCGAATTAAGGTCGAACTTTATGAAGATCCAAATTGGTGACTGTTTGATAAAATCGAGGACCAGTCATTTTGTGTTAGGAAGATTGATGAAATTCTTATGTAGCTACTTTTGTGAAGCTTCAAGCTTTGTATTGGTGTATTACAAGCGCCATTTTGTTATACTTTTATATCATCGAATTGAGGTCGAACTTTATGAAGATCCAAATTGGTGACTGTTTGATCAAATCGAGGACCAGTCATTTTGTGTTAGGAAGATTGATGAAATTCTTATGTAGCTACTTTTGTGAAGCTTCAAGCTTTGTATTGGTGTATTACAAGCGCCATTTTGTTATACTTTTATGTCATCGAATTCAGATCGAACTTTATGAAGATCCAAATTGGTGAATGTTTGATAAAATCGAGGACCAGTCATTTTGAGTTGGGAATATTGACGAAATTTTTATGTAGCTACTTTTGTGATGCTTCAAGCTTTGTATTGGTATATTACAAGCGCCATTTTATTATACTTTTATGTCATCGAATTCAGATCGAACTTTATGAAGTTCAAAATTGATAACTGTTTGATAAAATAGACAATCAATTACTTTAGGCTAGGAATATCGATAAAATGATTATACAGCTACTTTTGTAAAGCTTCAGGCTTTAAATTGACATATCATAAGTGTCATTTAGTGACACTTTAACGTCATCAAGTCAAGTCACTTGGTACATGATTCAAAATTGATCATTATTTATTGTAAATGACAATGAGCCACTTTGTATGAAAGAATTTAATAAAACGTTTCTATAATTATTTTCAATAAATCTTTAGCTTTAAACTGATGTTTGTGATCGTTTTATGTGATCGAACGATGTCGGACTTTGTACTAGTCTGGATATGAGCTAGAGAAGAAAAGAGGACCCTTAATCGAGTCGTATCGTTGCCTAAGTTGCATAATTTATAATCAATGACGGTAATTTTAAATGCGAACCACCCTCCCGTGAATCTCAATGCCGCAACTGGGCCCAAGAATCTTCAATACGTATTATGATGCAGAGACACCCCTTTGTGCGTGACGAAAGGGTGCGCAGGGAACCACGTGCAGAAAATTCGAAAAAAAGAATTCTTCTATCTCTTCCGTTCTTTTTTAGCACTCATTTCAAGTCAATATTGCACTATCACAATAACAATAAACAACAAATCTTATTTACTACATACTTCAATACTTAAAACATTTCAATTAAATATTGAAGTCCATATATTATGAAAGAAATAAAGTAACTAATTTAAAGATATAATTAAATTTTCTTTTCTGTCATGCTACTCTATAACATTTACACTGAATTTATAATATACATAATAACAATTTGTATAATAATATTTCATTCATAATTTGAGTTACTGTGTAATTTAGTATTCCAAACTGTTTAATATTCCCAATAGACACCCAAGCCAGAGCATCAGACTCCCAATACCTCAAGTATTAAATAGAAATAATAAACTCCCAATACCTCAAGTGTTAAAAACTGTGTACCAACAAATAGATAATTTGTGATTGATCCAGATCTACAGATTAAAGATAAGTTATAGGGTCTAAAAGAGCGTAGCACGTATTCTGTGTAGACACCCCCTCGAAGCGTGACGAAAGGGTGTTTAGAGGTCCACAAAGGGGGGATAGTCTACCTCCCTCCTCTGTCACGAAACAACGTTCGGGACCGTATCGGTATAATTACACGGATGGCGTTAGTGTCACATATCCCTGACAATACGTCGAACGGGAGCTAGATAGGGTAGATGCACCTGCAAGGAACCATATTTCATCCGACTTTTGTGCCTTTATGCGCCATGAAATCGCGAGGGTCACCGGGTTTCCCTAATTTCTATTATGCCGAGATAAGACCGTGTTAGATATCCACTTTAGGGGTTGCTCGTATTCCGTTGTAATCCTATTCTCTGACCAGGTGACCTTGCATTTTACTCTTCTTGCACTTTTAAGCTCTTCTATTTTTATTACAGAATTTTATTATCAAGTTTTTAGGTTCTTCACCCTCAAAATTTTCTATTCAACTTTCAGATTCTCCTTCTGATTTTTATTGTGAAATTAAGTTACTTACTTGTTCTGTTCGTGATAAAAATGTTGACCACTTCAGGTGTTGTAATCGTATTCTGTATTCAATCAAATGGCATGTTTCACATGTGTCCTATATCTTCTTGTGTCTCCTGTATCCTTAAGGTTGTATCACTTCCTCGTCATAAGATTATCTGAAATCATATTCATAGAATGAAATAACTGTTCTTAATTACACAATTTCTATTTAAAAAAAGTAATTGACATATTACATATACGTAGAAGCTATTTAAACTTGTACTTCAAGGGTTGGTACATTAATGTAACACCTCTATCAAATGAAACATAATAACTTTTCGTTTGAGTACATAATAAAAAATGAACGAAGAATTTGTTACAGTCACACATGCTAACAAATAGTAATAGGAATTTCCTTTTAATTAGTTGAACAGTTAAATGTTTAACCCAGTTGAATTGTTAAGGGTTGGTACAACATGACGTCTGCCTACAAACTACTTTCAGCCTTGTCTGACTACACACGTCTACCGTCACTGTCAAAGAAAATTTCCTCTCAAACACGCGTCAAAGAAAAGCAAAGACACGCGTTAAAGAAAAACGAGAATGCGTAAAAAGATAATCTGACAAAGGTGAAGAAATTTCGTGCACACACCATCGCCGGCGGAGAAAGAAAATGAATTGCATGCAGATAAAGACACGCACAAAAGAGGAGAAAACGTTGAAACGCGTAGACAAAAGAATTCCGTAGAGGAGGAACACGTTTCGTCGCCATAGAAGATCGTCAGAGGGAAAATGGATGCCGTCTCGAGGCAATATCGCGACAAGACGCGACGTCTTCGTGTATTTTACCGGAGGAAAGTCGAGGCGAATCGAGAGTATTTGGCCGTTTGTCAGTTCGCGTAAATACGCGACAATGCAGTCCTTTGTGCGGCGATGTTTGTCAAATAAAAGCCTATATACGGTGCTCTTTGTCTTTGTTCGTGGGTGCACGGACCACGGGGGGAGCCCTCGATGATACGCCTAGTTGACTATGAAACTCTCCGCTATGCCCCTGGCTTCGGAGCCTGAGCACAAAGGGGCATCAAGTTGGGCGGTAATGGTGATGCAAAGTATTTTCGGGATCGAACACGTGCGTATCGAAGGGGACACGGTGGCCCCACGATGCCGAAATCGGCCACGACACCGAGCATACGTTTAAGGGGCTGGTGTGTTTAGAACCTGAAATTTGTCGGATACGTTCAAATTCCCTGCGGATAATCGTCGGACAGGTCCATCAATGTCTTTTCATTTCTTATAGTTTATGTCGCCAGACTGGGGATGAGATGTACGTGAGGTTTTACCTACAAATATTTCATGTTTAATTGATAAATGCAACTAGGAGTATTTTAAGATTTTGTTGTTTTTACTGTTCTATCGTTTTGGTATTTTATTGTAGATTTTTCTACTATTTTGCTATTCTGCTATCCCACTGTTTTGACATTCCAGTAATCACTGTATTGTTATGCTGTATAGCACCATTCTAATACTCTTTACTACTGTATTACTACACTATTGTACCATACTACTATATTACTATACTATTTTATACTATTGTATTATTATACAGTCTAATAACACAGTGCTGTATTATTCATTTAGTACAGATTCATTATTATACTATTATAATACTGTACAAGTTTATCACCATACTGTTATACTACTTCATTATTATCCTACTATACTGTTATACCCATACATTGCCATAATGCTACACTATAAAATTATACTACAGTATTTTGCAATTTAAATACATTAGATAGTTTCCCCAATATTGTTAAGCAAATTGTAGAATTGAACACCAGATTTCCTACAGATTTGGAGTACTTCATGGGGGATTGTGATTCAAGAACACAGACAAAGACACCCCTGGTTCTTTATTTGCCAAATATGATTTCTGTATGAACAATGATTTGGCAAACATTGAAGCATTCAATATGTCTTTCAACCATTCGTGGTCTTGATTAGCTTCATACGAGCAATTTTTAGTGTACTGGAAAAATACTACAAAGGCTGTTATACTATATGCTATCAAATTCTGATTATATATGCTATCATACATGAAACCTCTATCATACATGAAACACTACTTTACTCTGGTCACCTATCAAATTCAGTATAAAGCATGAAATTCAGTCAACAATAAAGCAACAAATAATTTTGTTAACTAAAATATAAGACCACACACATACACGTTTTAACATACTCCTACTAAAAATCTGTATTCAATTCCACATTTGACGATCGCGGTAGCAAATGGGTTAATTACCCCAGCTTAGCACGACATATACTTGTCCATACCTCAACCTCGATCTCGAGAGCTGCTTAAAAAACCAGAAAAAGTCTCGAAATAACCCGAGTGTCCGTATCTGTATACGTCACTGCCGGCGTTCGCTGGATTATTGATCCCCGCGACCCTAGGCGCAACCAGTTGAGCACCACGACATCATCTCATCCCCTCCATCCCCCTTCCACCAAGGTTTAAACATTAGGGCGGAACCCTGGCGAACCAATGATTCTCTTCGTACCGTTTCCCTCGCTTGTCTCGAGCACTCCGCCTCTAGATTCTCACCCTCCTTCGGGAGGGGTTGGTGCACGATGACGGCCAGGGGTAGGGGGATGATTTTCACTGTCGATGCTGTGGCCGTCGTCAAAAAAGCTTGAGAGTCCGGGCCGTTGACACGCACGAGGTATCGCGGGCGCGACAATAATCATTCAGGTGTCAAACATTAGCCGGACCCCTATTTGAAAGACAAGGGTTGAAACGAGCGTAAACATGCAAATTAAAGAGAAATTACCCACCGGAGAAGTTTGGAAGTCCGTCAGGATGGCGAACGGTGTGCACAGGATCTTCTCTTGAGGCATATCACCACGTCGGAGGACTGGAGAGGGTTGAGGGTTGTCGCGGGCCAATTCTGGTTCCATCGCGTTCAGGACGCTTCGAGTGATTTTTGTGAACGAGCTGGTCAGACAGAAGGTGCGACTTTTTTTTTATCGATTGATCGGCTGCCAGTGATTCGGGAGAGACAGGGGTGCCAGAGGGTGCGGGAGTGGATCGAGACGGTCGAGTTTGTGGTTTTTTCGGTTGGGGTGGTTCTTCGGGACCGAGTGATATTGTGGTGGGTGACTTTGAGAAGTTTCAAGAAACCATGTTGGAATTCTACCCTCCGCTACCAGGTAGCCTTGGCAGGCAGGGTGAGCCGGGGCCGACGACGATGGCCTCCGCTGCACCACCGATACCGTTTCGACCTGCAAATGATAATAATAACGCAGGTAAGATCTCAGAACACTAAGGGTTAAATTGGATATTTTTACCTGTGGGTCAGTTGTACTGAGAGTTTTAGAAGGACCAAGATTTAAGGATTAGATTGCGCTGGATATTTAAAATGATAAGTGATTATCAGAGAAGTCTAATAAATTAATAAATACTCAGAGAAAATTAATGTAGGAAGAGAAATCATTTACCTCCGACCATTTTGGAAAGTATAAATTCTTCAATTCCTTAATTTGCAAATTTCCACAGTTCCCAAATTGTCAAATCCATAATTACTATATCTCCAAATATTCCATTTTCCATCTTCTGCAAATTTCTAAATTCTCAAACTAATATTCCTGAATTTCCCATTTTCAAAATTTTTAAATATCCAAATCGCAAACCTATAACATTTCAAATTTCAAATTTAATAATCATAAAAATTAATTACTCAAAAGTATTTATTCCGTTTTATCTCCTCATATGGCCATTTTCTCCACAGTAGTGTACCCTGTCCTCAAGTGTACACATGTAAATAAAAATGGCGACGAAACCGAGAGTGGTTAATATTAGTCAATATAATATTAAAACATTTAAAATAATCGAAATTAAATTGTAAAACGTACAATAAAAATGAATACTTGAAATACGTACTTCGTTAACGAAAAAGAATTATATAAATTATCGAAATTCATGTAAATAGAAACTTATTGCATTGCGTTCTATCATGGCGTACCTTTATCGCTATCGCTATCGACAATCGATAAGCGACGGAATAAATTTCATGGGTCTCGCAATATTGCTTTGCACCAGAACACCTATCACATTTCTCAGTCTGACAGCTATATCATTCGAAATAACTCTGTGCACATTTATTTTTTTCGAGGTAGAAATGTGACTGCGTTACAAGTTTCAGTATTGCACAATACAAGCACAAATTATTACTTATTCATATAAACAATGACACTACATCATTTTTCACTTTACATCTTTAACATTTTATAAGGCACTATTGAGTATATTTATAATTAACAATGGCGGTTTTAATAATTGTTTAATTAGATATTTCTTATTTCTATTAAAATTAGTTTTAAAACTTTCGTAAAGTAAATTACAGATTTGTCAAAAATGGGAGTGCAATGGCATTATGGGAGTTCAAGATATAGATCTGTGTTAAACTACGCAACATCGCAATGTCATCACTTTTGAATGAAAAAGTTTATAAAACTATAAAAATTAAGATACTTACGTATTCAAATGTTTAAAATCACTAAGTCACAATATTCCAAACTTTCCAAATTTAAAAATTAAAAATATTCTAAAATCCTAATGCCCATTGTCCCACGTATCCCACAATCCTTAATTGCAATATTGCAAACTAGTAAAGAAAATTCCCTATAGCAACAGTACCTCCGAAATAACGTAAGAATTGTTGGTTACAGAGCCGTCGGTATCGGTGAAGACCGAATCCGGACTCCTGGAGACAATTTGTGCCGGTTGCGGTCGCACCATATCCGACAAATACGTGATGCAGGTCGCCGGAAGGAACTACCACGAGGAGTGTTTGTCGTGTGCCGCTTGTGCGGCTCCTCTCACTCAATCCTGCTTCATTCGCGAGCTGAAATTCTACTGCAGGACCGATTACGAGAGGATCTTCGGTGTGAAGTGCGCGCGGTGCATGGAGAAGATCAGTTGCTCGGATTTCGTGCTCAGGACACCGGGTTTGGTTTTCCATGTGGAGTGTTTCGCGTGTTGTATGTGCGGCCAACCGTTGCCACCCGGCACACAGTATTTTCTGCGCCAGGGACAACCGATTTGCAGAAGGGACTATGAGCACGAGTTGTACCTGAACAGTCCTCAAGGTTGGTGAACATCTATCTTCGTTCTCTGTTTCTATTCTTTTCTTTTCTTTCTCGTTTAATTGCCGACAGTGCAATGACTTTAGTAGGCTGGTCGCCATATTGACAAATATGTCATTTTTCGGTAATTTGTTAACTCGTTCAGAGATGGCGATACTTTTATATTCGTGTGGTGATTTATTTAATAAATAATTTATTTAAAATTTTTCCTTGAAACTGCACTTATTTGTTAATTGAATTTGCTTCGTAACACGATTACTTTAATTTCTTTCATTAGCTTGACCAATTTTGTTTTAACTTTATGTAATATATGAATGACTTTTTTTATATAGAAATTGTATATCTACTTACACATAGAATAACTAAATATATGAGACAGAGAATGCACGATTAATGGTGAACAGTCGAATCGTAAATGTTGAGAGCAAAATCGATAAAATGGAAAATATCAAACATCGATATTATGGAAATCTAGAAATTATTTATATCGATAAAGTTAGATTCGTAAGATACTAGCGAAATGTAAATTAGAAAAACAGAAATTAGATAGCCTAAAATTAGGTACCCTCGGATGCCCCAGAAATGAAATATAATAGTGTACTTTTTAATATACAGGAAATACGGCCGATGCACGTTCCAGTGTAAATAAAAAAAGTCGAAACGAAGAGAAAACTTTGACAGCAAACTGCTCGAATAATAAAATAAAATCGAGATTGGCGATCTGTTCAGTGTGAGAAAATAATTGTTGTAATAAAAGCAAAAAAAGCAAATGAAATTAATCGACGCACGTGCGAGAAACGTATTTGTACATACCTTGTTGCATTGTTCGCAGGTTGTACTGCTACAATCTAAAGACATCCAAAGTAAAAACCTGCAGGAATTTCGAATCGAGGCTGTCTCTTTTCAAGGTAACTAAACTTAAGCCAAGCGTAATTAGAAATTCGAACGAAATTCTTTGAATGAATTCGACGAGACTTACACCAAAGAAAAACAAAACAGTGATACGCCAATCGGTGGTTTTGCACTTAATTTCGATTTTCTTCTAATTTTACGCGGGAATATTCAAATCATTTGAGGATGAAAGAGCAGTTTGTTAGTCATAGTTTCTTCAACAAATTTTCTAATCTCCTCGTTTGTTAGTTATGGTTTCTCGAAGGCGAATTAATTTATTTTATGTTTTCAATGCAATTTCGTTCAAGTTTGAAATAGTAATACTATTGCAAGCTAGTGAAAACTGATACTGAAGAAGTCCCAGAAAGGTTGATAAAGGTTTTCAAATAAAAATTATTTATTAAAATAAATAGGTGAAAATAAATAAGATAAAATAGACATCTTTAAAATTAGTATTGAAGAAGTGATAATATTTTATTAAAGGAAGGTTATATCTTTGTGAGGTTAAGTAAACTATACGATCTGTCATTCGACTTCTAAAGGAAATCATTTTACAGACGATGATTTATTGGACGAGAATCGACCCAGAGACGGTCGTCGGGGTCCTAAAAGACCCCGAACGATCCTGACATCGGCCCAAAGACGTCAATTTAAGGCGTCCTTCGAAGTCTCCCCAAAACCCTGTCGAAAGGTACGAGAAGCCCTAGCAAAAGACACGGGTCTCAGCGTCCGCGTGGTGCAAGTTTGGTTCCAAAATCAGCGGGCAAAGATGAAGAAATTGCAAAGAAAAGCGAAAACCGAGCCCGGATCTGACAAGGAACCGAAAGAAGAACGTCGAACGGAAAGTCCCCACAGTGATCACAGTAAGAACTTTATCCTTTTCTAGAAACATCCTGGAATGTCATTTAACATCATTCAATTTTTATTTGTAGTTATTAATTAACACAAGATCACAATAAACTTGGTGATATTCTTTCGTTTCTACGTTTCAAGAGGTTAAGTCAACTTCGAGGATCAAAGTTACATGTGTATTATATTATGGGCTTTGTTGTGCATCACTGACTAGAGGTGCAAACAAGACTAATCGTGCCTTTGTTTTCGAAGGAATCTGTCACTTGGAAACAAGCGCCATCTGTTTTATTTTATTGTTAGTATAAATGAAACACTTTACTTCAGTATTTTAACACACTTTAAATTGTTATTTATATTGTTAATTATATACTGTTAAAGGCTGACAATGATATAGGAGTGTCTTAGAAGCAATTTAGTATTTTGTAAAGTCCTGCAAGAAAAAGAAGACAAATCAGTAAAACGTATTGGAAAAAGATAAACGGGTAAAACAGATGTCGATATTACTGCTTTCTACTACTTGACTAGTGTCCTCGGACACCAAATTCATGTGCACTCAAGAACAAAGGCATGTTTAGTCTTGTCATATCTTCAGACAGTGTTGCACACATCCTGAGGTGTGAGCTTTATCGGATTTACAAAGTTTTGTTACTAGCGTGACGTTTGTGTCTGAATGAATGTTTGTGGTTTTCGGTTGAAACGTAACTGTTCGCGAAGACTGGTTAATGGGGCTTAGAGGAACGTTATTTGGTGCAAAATGCCAATTGTCTGATCTCGTTCGCAGGTCATTACTTGAACGCCATGAACATGCGCGATGGGGAATCTTCTAGCTTCCCCTCAGCCACCCAACCGCTCAACCCCAATAACCCGTACTCGCCCGACGGTAAGTCTTCTCCGTTGGAATTTTGAGATTTGGCGATACTCGGTAATTTTGCAATTGGAGATTTATGATTTTGTACATTTTCCAATGTGGGTAATTGGAAATAGAGGGCGTGGAGATTCGAAGATGCGATGACTGAGGAGTGAGATGTTGGGGATTTGAGAAGTGGAGATTGAGGACTTGGAAATTTGGAGATTTGAGAATTAGGGGATTTTGGAATTTGGGGATTTGAGAAATTGGAAACTTGTGGATTTGGAAATTTGAGAAATTGGGGATTTGAGAAATTGGAAACTTGTGGATTTGGAAATTTGAGAACTTGGAGATTTGAGAAATTGGAAACTTGTGGATTTGGAAATTTGAGAACTTGGAGATTTGAGAATTAGAGGATTTGGGAATTAGGGGATTTGAGAATTAGGGGATTTGAGAATTAGGGGATTTGGGAATTAGGGGATTTGGGAATTTGGGGATTTGAGAATTTGGAGATTTGAGAATTTGGGGATTTGAAAATTCAGAAATTTGAGAACATGGAAATTTGAAACCTTGGAAATTTGATAATTTGGAAATTTGAGAAACCAAAGGTATCAAGAATTATAATACCAAGAAAATTGAATAAAAATTGTACCTAAAATATTTTTTTCATAAAAGCTTTCTTTTCTAACAAACATTCTACCTATTTCAGACGCGTATCCGGGTCATTCAGGGGAGAGTTTCTGCAGCAGCGATTTATCGTTGGACGGAACGGAAGCTGGCTTCGACATAGGCGAGAACGAGGGCGGCGGTGGTCAAGAGGGTAGTCATCAGGGCACCACCCACACCCACCATGGTACATCGTCCCACGAGGCACCGTCATTGTCGCAAAGTTTGCACGCGGCGATTCACAACCCCATCGACAAACTGTTCATGATGCAAAGTAGTTATTTCAGTGGTGATCATGCGTAATCTTCGAGAGAAAATGTTCTCCATGGTGTTTGCGACCGGTTATCCAAAAGGGCTAGCTGATTCATGACATCAAGTGTGAAATACGCAGAGATCGTACAGCATCGTTTTTTCTCAATTTTGCAAATCTTTTATATTTTCTTTCATTCAATTTTTTTGTTATATTGTTTTTGTATATGTGTATTATTTGTTACGTTCTTTGTTGAAATTTTTATTTATTTATTTTGTGTTCTCGAATATTATGTATTCGTTAATCGTTTATATTATTTATTCAAACTTTTGTACAATTATGAGATTGAATTATTGTACAGTTATATTATTTTTTTGACTCTGTATTTTATTATGTTTTATTTATTTGAGTTTATGTTATTTTGTTACTATGTTTATTATATTATTTTGTTGTATTATATTGTTTTATTTTGGTTCGATTTATTTAATACTCAGGGTAGAATGCTGTACGACAGAATGTCGATAGCATCGCACGATGCTATCTCAGTGCTAATTATTTAATTTAAGGTGGTTTTCGAGGTACCAAGAGAGAATAAGAGTGGCGAGGACAATTGAGATGGTAAAACGAGTAATCGCGTTTCGATTTAATATTAAACGATGTATCCCTCGGTTTTCGCCTATAAAAATGCATATATTATATTTAAACGTCGACGTACCTTATTTCTATCCCGAGAGATTGTTGTTAAACAAACGTGACTATGCTGTGCCATTGACTCTCTCTGAATTCAAACAATTTCATTGAATTTAATACTCAAATTAATCATAAATAATTTGCGTACTTTTTATAAATTACTTGCAAACTTTTATAAATTCGCATTTCTATTTGTTTACATTTGTATATATTTCTACAAATTTCTATAGGCTTAAAATTGACTCAAAAACTTTCATCAAAGTCTCAGATTCATTTTAAACACCATGGAATCAAATACTATTCGTTTTTGAATATTAAAATTTATTGAACACTGAACACTTTCCAAGTGTTTGAGTCAATTAAGCACAAAAGTAATATTATTGTAAATTATTATTATTATTGTAAAGAATTAAGGAATCCTTGTCTATAGATATTGTAACTTTCTCCAACCGCAATTAATTCAGAAAGGGTCAATGTCGATTTGTTGCAGCGGAAGAATGATTTACAAGGAAACTAATAAGTGATCTGTTAGGTTCGATGAATCATTAACTAGGAACCATACGAATTAGTGAAAAAATTACAATACATTGTATAAAAAAGAAACGACACTTCATTGACACCCTATTTTTCATCCTTTTCTTCCATTATCAATATTTATACTAAAGTCAAGATTAGAACAAAATTAATTCATTAAAACATTGATGCAGATAATAACAAAATTTGAAACTTTACCAAAAATTATTTGATATATTTTATAAAAGTATTTATATCAAATATATTTATATTGAATTCTTCTGTCTTGAAAGAAGACAAATCTGATACCAGGAGAAAAGCTCGAAATAAGTCAGACGCAGGTAAGAATAGAGGGTTTATTATCGTACATCAGAAATACACTGACCAAAAACAAAAAAGAATTCTCGAACGTTAAAATATACAAAAGATCATTTGTCAAAGGATATTTAGTTTACAAAACTTGATTGTTTTACAGGTAAAATAATGCGGTAGAAAATTAATTAAATTCCTCCTTGGATCTAATTTTTATAAATCAATCTTTTCCTAAACTATCGATAACCGTAAGTACGATTCTCGACTTCTCTTCAAACTCTAATAACATTTTATCAATTTTTCCTTCGTTTCAACTTTTAATAAAATTTCTTCAATTCCTCCTTCGTTTCAACTTGAAATAAAATTTTTATATTTTCAAACAGTTTATAATTCGAGTTTAAATTTTTTAACTTACGAATAACACTTAAACACAGTTACGAAGGTACCTGTTTAATTTAAGTTTTAATTATAACAAAAACCTAATTAATCCTTAATAATCAGTTCTACCAAGCAGTTATTTAAAAGAAACAATTTTGACAATTAGAGACAAACCCTTTCAGTATATTAAAATAACACGATCTAGAAACTGATAAATAATTTCGTTTATTACTAATTTTTTCGAAGAAAGATCTCTATGCTATCGTAGCTGAACATCAAATAATTAGTTCCCAACGACGTAAATATACGTCGCTCTGCAAAAATATTCCTCAACATAAAATAGAAACATCGAGAATGATTGTGCGATCGTACAAGCTCGAAAGAAAGAAACAGGACGTATCTTTTCGCTGGATTCGATAATAATTTGGATCGATTTCCCGGCAGTGACGATACAGAAGTAGCGATTTACGATGCATCTTGTTTTCGCGGTGGAAAATTTTCAACTTTGTTCTACTTGGTTCGCGAATCGTTGTACGCAAGCTTGTCGAATAAAAAATACGGCATAACTGACTACGCTTTTCTCTTTCTTATTGCTGCAACCGGGCAGTTCTTTGACCTTCTTCTTTTATGTAATATACACCTGTAAACTTTTTCAACAATATTGTTCGTTCCTGTACAAAATCTTCGATCACAGGCTTCTGTTTGTACAGTCCGTGTCTAGTGCTGGGCATTCGTTCAAATTTTTAGTGATCAAATTAGGAAGATTGACGGAAGCCAGTCACGTGGATGGAAATCGGATAGCAAAATATTTTTGCCGGTGGTTTTTCGAATGTTTTTAACACTTTAACACTTCGGTGGTTTTTTGATACTCGAATTTAATCTTGTACTTTGATACTTCATTGTTATTCATGTTATGGACAGATATTAATTTTCAAAATTGTGAAGATGTTAATTAGAGTCATTGTAAAATAAGAAAGAAATTATTACGGTTATTGTAAGATACAGGATATTCGGCTACTAGTGGACATAGTCCTCCTGAAATTTCAGGAGGTGGTAGTTGAAGTGGTACTGAACACATTTTTCAGTGCTGAACAACTGAATTTGGGAATTTGAGAAATTGGAGATTTGAGAATTTGGGAATTTGAGAATTTGGAAATTTGAGAATTTGGGGATTTGAGAATTTGGAAATTTGAGAAATTGGAAATTTGAAAATTTAGGGATTTGAGAAATTAGAACCTTGAGGGTTTGGAAATTTGAGAAATTGGGAATTTGAGAAATTCGAAATTTGAGAATTTGGGGATTTGAGAAGTTGGAAATTTGAAAAATTGGAAATTTGAAAATTTGGGGATTTGAGAAATTAGAACCTTGAGGGTTTGGAAATTTGAGAATTTGGGAATTTGAGAATTTGAGGATTTGAGAAATTGGAAATTTGAGAATTTGGGGATTTGAAAAATTAGAACCTTGAGGGTTTGGAATTTGAGAATTTGGGAATTTGAGAAATTGGAAATTTGAGAATTTGGGGATTTGAGAAGTTGAAAATTTGAGAATTTGGGGATTTGAGAAATTGGAACCTTGAGGGTTTGGAAATTTGAGAATTAGGGGATTTGAGAATTCGAATCACTCTCGCGTCCAAGCGCGCGCTATTCTCGCGCTCTGATAGGTCCATTGTTGTTCCTTAATAATTTAAAAACCAAGCTTCAGTCAGCATTTCGTTAAAGGAAAAAGTTGTTCACTACCACCTCAACTACCTCCCCCCGAAATTATTTCCACCACTATCCGAACACCCTGTATATCAATAACCATAATAAGCTACCAATTATAAATTACCAATTATAACCGATCCCAATTTCCCAAAAGTGACAAAGTGTTAAAGTGCTTACTTCTACGAATATCCAGCTACAATGCTACTTAAATATAAAAAAAAAAATTAATCAAAGTGTTAAAGTGTTCTCAGCAAGTATCTAACAGTAATTTTCCCTTTCGAATAGGAAAATTCCGCTTCTTAACAATATCTAACACTTTACTCTTATAAATCATCTACTTAGCTCTATTCGCTTAAAATACTTTCAGATAAAAAGAGACATTCAGGAGAATACTAATTTTTGTTTCTGCTGAATTGCTCCTTTGGCAGTGCGACTAACGAGCAACTAGAAATTAGTATAGGCACCGTATGTGTTTAATTATGTATGTATAATCCTAATTAACGACTTTAAGTAGCGTGAGTACAGTTTAATTCGGCAACGTTGGATGTTTCGTGTCCCTGATTCAAAAGGGAAATGTTTGCTTAGCCTTATTTCTATGGTACATACTTCTTTTTTCGCTCGGCAGGTATAATTCTTCAGATTTATCCGATATAATGACTCAACTATGTCATATGTGATGATTTGAGTACATTAGGTTCACTGTGGTTCAACATATTCATCATTAATGTATAATGGGTTATCAGATTTATCATATGTAATGTTTTATCAGGTTCATTATAGTTCACCAGGTTCACCAAGATTCAACAAATTCATCATGAATGTATAATGGATCATAAGGATTATCATATATAATAGTTTATCAAGTTTATTATATGTGATGGTTCACCAGGTTCACCAAGATTCAACAAATTTATCATGAATGTATAATGGATCATCAGGTTCATCATATGTAATATTTCATCAGGTTCATTATGTGTAATAGTTCATCAGGTTCACCAAGATTCAACAAATTCATCATGAATGTATAATGGATTATCAAGTTTACCATATGTAATAGTTCACCAGGTTCATCATATGTAATGGTTCATCAAATTTGTCATATATAATGGTGTATCTGATTCATTGTATACAATGGGTCACTGAAATCATTATATATAATGGTTCAACAAGTTCATTATATGTAATGGTTCATCAAATTCATCATATATAACTGTTCATCATGTTCATCATATATAATAGTTCATCAAATTCATCAAATGTGGTG